TTAACGTTACTACGTTAACTTAAACGTTTAAGTTAAGTAATTAGTTTTATTTTATTTGTTATTTTAGTTTGTTTATTTTAAGTTTAGTTAGTTTATTTATTATTGTGTGTGTGTGTGTGTGTGTGTGTGTGTGTGTATATATACACACACACACACACACACACACACACACACTCCTATCATTTAAGGGACCATCTAGGATGCCCCATCCACTTAACTTTAAAATAAAAATAAAACACTTAAAACCAGTATTATCATTCAAATAGTTATCAAGCATTTTCTTAAATATCCATAAATTGACCATATCTACCATGTGTGAAGGCAACCCATTATAATAGCCAACCACCCTGTCAGAAAAATGAAGCTGTCTTATCTGGAGATAGCTCCTACTCAGCCAAAATTTGTTTTTGTCCCCCCTAGAGATACTTACCATTCTCTCCATTAAGTATGAAAATAGATGATGCACCATCTGTCAATTCCCATAGCAATCTAAAAAAATTTCAATCAGATCCCTTCTAACTCATCTTTTATCACAAGAAAACAATTTCAGAGAACTTTATAAGGTAAGCCACCTAAGACTGAATACAATACTACAAATGTCGTCTTACCACTATACCAGTGACCTATACAATGACGGTATAGTCTCTTTAGACTTTTATTCAGTATTTCTGTAGATACAGCTTAAAATCCTGTTTGTTCCACTAACAACAGCACATTGCTTGGATGGCTTAAGAGACTGATCAACTAGAACACCAAGGTCTTTTACTTTCATGACACTGTTAAGTTATTCCCATCAAAATTATACTTGTACTTCAAATTATAATATCCCAAATGCATTCATTAGTATTTATTATAATTAAAACCCATCTACCATATATTCACTCAACTTCTAAAATGATCTAAATCCTTTTGTAAAGCAGTAGCATTCTCCTTGTAGCCAGCAACATCCAAACCTAGAATATCGTTAGCAAACTTAGATAATGTATAGCAGAGATGGCTGGTATGGGTATTAAAAACTTTAATTAAACTAAAGTACAAGAACAATGTTTTGACCTTAACAAAGACAGTTTGAAACTTCAGTTTCACTTCAAGTGGGTTTCTCTTTATCATTAATTAAACTTAGATAACGTATTGATAATTCTTTCATTTTGGATGAAGAAAATATATTCAATAACAATTTTAAGAAATAAAGGTAATTATTTGAAAGTTATCTTCAGATAATTGATTTTTTAAAGATTAGTTTATTAATATTTGAAAGGAACTGCAATATTGCTGTGGTCATGATGTTTATCACCATAGTTTGTTTTCTCTCACTTCATCTTGTGGCTACAATCTTTCTGGAACTCAACTATGCAATAATAAAATGTCTCTTAAAAACCTTGATTTAGTTCTCTCCTAATATACAATTTGGAGTATTTAATACTTTTGTTTTCATTCTACTCATGTGAAACAAAGATTGTAATTATATAATTTCTATTTTAATTGTTCATGAAATGTTTTGTAAATTGTTTTTAAGATAACAAACCCCTTATTATTGTGAAGAGATGAAGATAGCATATTTTAATTACCAGCTAATAAAAATTGTGACATACGATAGCTCTCATTTTATTGATTGATTGAAAAAGTTGGACAGTTTTATTTGGAAAAATAACATCACAGTAGATTATTTCACACATAATATGTAGTTGAACAGAAACAAATTTATAAAACCTCTTATCTTCCATTGTTTTCAGTAAAACTGAAGATTATTTTTGTATATAAGAAACTAGTTCATTACTTGTAGAAAGCATATTCCAAGAAATAATTTGTATATAGTTTCTTTCTATGTAAGAAATTGGTGTGATGTTTTGATGGAAGCGTACAATAAAAATCAAAGTTTGGCTCTTAAAGCAAATTCTCTAATATTTAATGTAGAATGAATGCTCCGATAAGACAATATCCAAATCTTCAACTTGATGACTTTATTTCAAGTTCAGTGTGACAGAATAAGCTTTAATTGTATTATCAGTTTGAGACAAAAGCTTTTGTCACCAGTGCTCTTATCTCTTGTTATTAAAACACAGCTAATATGCCTTGTTTGTAAATGAAAACTATGGTTCATTACAAAAACAAATGATCCTTTGAAGTAGATTCTAATGCATTGAACAAATGATATGCACCAAATTACCTACTTCAGTATTTGTTTATACAATTTTGATTACAGATCTTGAGGATGGAACTTTTATTTAAAAAAAATGTATATGTAAGTAAGAAATACCCTAAGAGATAGGAATTACACAAAATCTATCATTTTTTGTCAGGCAGGTGGTACCACTACCTGTATAGGGATGGCTTGGATTGTTCATCGAAATATTTTAAATATCTCCTCAGTAGGTCATCAGAATTTTGCAGTACCATACAGTATTTTCTTTTATGACAATATCTGTGTAAAGACAGAGTCACAAGTTCTGGGAATGTCTGTAAATATCATAGCAAAAATTTTGAATTT